ATTACTGCACTTACTTGAATGAAAAATAGAGAAATAAAACATAACACAGCATACCCTTAGGCACACAGACATATGAAGACACATACTGGTTTTTCACAATCTCCATAGTTTGCTTGATACATTACAACTAGTAAATATGTATGTATCTCCTTTCTCATGATGTATTCTCTGATGTCTCACTGATTATGTCACTTTTTTATACAGTATGCACAGTTTTTAATGGTATAATATAAATGAGTATCCTGGGTTTGCCCAACTGTATGAATTTAATAAGGTAACAATAAACGTGAACCTCTCAACTTAAACATTATTATTTATTTAGAACATTACCAGCAACCATGCCTCTTTATAACAATATAAGAGACATAGACATATACATGTTTGGTTAAACTCCAAATAGCTGAAATCAAAAATAATTTACACCTCATGTTGCCAAGATCAGAAACCGCATGTCCCATTGATTTATTCATCTTGTATCATGTCTAACTTTAGTGGAACAACATTATTGGTTATGGAAATAATCTGCAGATGCTCCAGTTCAAGATGAGACCAGACTTTTTTATGGATGTCAGTTTTTGAGCCACAACGAAGGCCAAACTGTTGGCTTCAACAGATTAGGCAAGCCTTGATTTTAGCATAGCAGTTGTCGATTACTTGTGGCCCCTACTGGCCGGTCAGGAGCATTTAGTATAAAACACAGCACAGTGAATTAAATATGTGTTTGAGGTTTTTCAAACATTGTGAATCACTGCAACCACAAGAGGTCATTGAGCGTACAGTCAGAAAAATGCACAGAAAATATGAGGCTGATATAACCCTCCAGGAAGTTGTGATCACAATAATTAACACAGATTCTACTAATCCATATGAATTCTGCACAACCTTACACTTTGGTCAAATCCCTGCAACTTTTCTGTAAATTTGATCAATCGCTGTAGTTTCCCGAACCACGTCACCAAACTCACTTCCTTGTGTCTAGTTCTGAAGATACAGACCATGCAGACAACATCTCATTACCTTCATAATTGTGAGCCTTTATGGTAAGGTTACTTGATTTAATTCTCACTGGACAAGTTTCCTTCAGTTTTCAGTTTTGCAATGTTCACCTTTTCAGCAAAAAAGTGCCACAACAATCCCAAAATACCCTGTAAAATTCTGAAAGGATGGATGGAATATGAGCTAAATGTTTTGATAAATATCCTCATGTTCTCCGTAAATGTCCAGAGTGTCTTCATCAAAGGGCTGCTGTACATTTACATAGTCATCATCACTATCTTCATCATCCTCTCCTTGTCCCTCAACCAAGGCATAGATGTCCTCGCTTCCAACGTGATTATGACCATTGTCCTCCTCTTCCCCATAGTCATGATCTTCATCGCCCTCCTCTTCTTCCATTCCTCTTGTTTGCTCCTGCCTCATCTTGGGATACACTGCTTCAAAGTTTGTATAATGCTCCTCCTCCTCCTCTTCCTCAAAGTCTTCATGATGGTTCCTGACAGACACTGAAACACAAGTATGGGAACAGAATGTGTGATGAATATTAGAATCGGTTCTCTAAATATCACAGTTAACAAAAAAAGGTTAAACAAACAGCAACAGTCCTATACTGTCATGTGTGTCCTTGTGAACAGACATTGAGTTTGGAAGTTGCCTCCAGGCTGCCTGGTTCGTCGCCTTCTCCTGAGAACCAGAAAGACCACCACCAACACCAGCAGGGGCACCAGCAGGATCCCAGCAACTACTGTGGAGACCAGCAGCAACAAAGGCACTAGGAGAGAGAAACAATGTATCCAAAGGTAACAGGTAATAGTATCGTATTTACTGAGGTAATAACCTGGTAATATTTTGGTAAAGAGGGGATTACTTTAATATTACAGTTTTATTTCTGTGATATTTATTGTACCTAAACAGCAGGATAGAAAATGGGGGGAAAACATCTCAGTTGCTAATAATGTAGTAAAATAAGCAACTCTGTTCACAACAATCACTTCATATTATAGAGGTAGAAATAGGGTAAAATACAATCTTTATACTGGGTGGTATTAACAGGGGTGAAATTAAAGTGATGTTAAATCACCCAAAAAATCTTTATTTTCCTATACCATTCTAAACATACCATTCTAAACATCCATTTCGAACCACTATTATTATAATTATTATTATAATTATTATTATTATTATTATTATTATTATTTTAAATGCCTTTATTTTGATATGAAAGCTGAAGATATTCAGGAAAGGGGAAGAGAGGAAGTGTCGACATGCAGCAATGGGCCACAGGTTGGAATCGAACCCAGGCCACTGTGGTCAGGACTCAGCCTAAATGGGGCGTACGCTCTACCAGGTGAGCGACCGTGTGGCCCCAAACCACTATTTAAAACACAATAACTTTCATGGAAACACAAATACCAAAACAGTTCTGGTGTTATGCTAACTATCCTGTTTCTACTTTATTGTACTGGTTGTAAGACAATACAAGAGTTAAAAATTAAAAACATCTCTTTTTTTTATATGGAAACATTTTGGTGTACAATGAATAAGGGCTGGAACCTGCAAAAACACCCATTTCCTATTTATGTATTGGTGATGGTGCTTTAAACTAAACACTCAAAGGCCAGAATCAATTATTGGAAATACACATACAATTATTTCTATGCATTAACTCTTATGGATGTGGGAACTTTGTTAACACAGAAAACAAGTGAACAACTATCTTAAATTCTGCAGACTTACATTTAATGACAACACTAATTGTCGCTGTCTCAGTAGACGTGAATTTCCTTGAGGACAGTGTGACTTCATACACACAGCTGTAGTTTCCCTGGTGTTCATACTCAGCTACAACTTTTATTAGCAATAGGTTACATAATCTTAATATGAAGAACATGTCAATTAAAAAAAAAGTTGTGGGCCCCTGTCAGACGCTCTGGCAAAAACCTCCCTCTCGGTAAACAGTTAGGTTAAGCTTCTCTGCTCCTCCTTTCTTCCCCGCGACTTGCTGGATTAGTGTGTTTCCTATCAACTTTACTGTGTAAATAGTTTGGTTTGAACATGTACTACAATAATTTAAATAGTTTGCATCTTTCTGCCTTTGTTGCACGAAACTATTCTAAAAATGTTCATCAGCGCTACCAGCATACAGTTTTTACCGTATAAATCTGTTCAGGCCAAAAACAGAGACGAGGCCCTGAACCCTGCTCTCTTTGCCTTTGGTTCATATATTTTGCTACAAATGCAAAAACAGAATTGTGTCATTTATTCTTATTTTATGAAATTGGAGTAGTTTAAAATTGATATGAAATGTTAAGCCTGGTTCTATTATAAGGTTGCTTGATATTTGTTGAACGTATTTTTAAGCACACATACGTGCCTGGTAACTATAGAACCAGGTATAAATAAAAGAAAATGAGAACAATAACTTTAATTAAAGTGGATCAGAATTGACAACCAGTATACCTTGTAAGCCTTAGAGTGATATGCGTTTCCTGCTGCAGCTCGTACATCTAGGACGAAGTTTCTGTAACATTTTGAATTACTGCACGTGTACCTTGGAAGCTTGGACGGAAACCATTAGGGAGGAAATAAGAACATGCAACCACAGCCATAGCAACCATACTCGCGTTTTTCACGCATCTCCATAAGTTTGCTTTTGATACATCCAAGGAGGAAGGATCTCCACTTTCCGGCAGTCCTACAATATTCTCTTATGGCTCTTTCACAATATGCCAAGTTCTTTAATTGGCTCCTTTAACTATAAAAGGAGTATCCTGGGTTTGCCCAACCTGTACTTAAATTTAAAGGCGGTAAAAAAATACAATGCAAGACTTCTCAACTTAATCATTAATTTTGTCTAGCTTTAGGAACCCATTACAAGACCACCATGCCGCTTTATCAAGAATGATAATAGATCACTACACGTATACACTTCAGGCCCAAGGAAACGTATTTTGGACGAGTGACACCATTTTCATGATTTGGGCTCTGCATGTCACCAGCATTACGATTTGAAATTACAACAACTGACGTGCTGCAAGTTGAATGCAGACTTTCAGGGCTTCCAACTCCAAGCGGGTTGAACCAAAATATCCTATCCAAACTTTTAAAATTGCAACGATTGTTAAGACAAAGGTCCTCCATTTCAAGGGGCTCAAAAATAAGTAGCTTGGTGTCCTTCCTGTTTTTGCGACAAATTAAAGAGTACCATAATAAAATTTGTCCAATCAACTTTGCTGCCATTTGGCTGAATCTGAGCAGAAACGAATATCCCGCTGGTATAACACGTCAGAATCTCATCCGGCTGCTTACTGTCTCCGGTGGTCACATGATGCACATAAACACTACGCTGACCGGGTGCCGTTGGGAAGCCACACTGCCTCCACCATGTTTTTACAGGAAGATGGTGTGTGCTTGGATCCTTGAGGCCTGGTTCCAAGCCCCGCTTCTCCATACTTTCTTTCTGTCTCTCCCTATCATTCTGGCGTAACAGGCTGGATCCTTATTTCATTGTCCAAAGAACGGCTGTTCCAAGAACCTGAACCTTTAAAGATGTTTTCTGGCAAAGGGTCTAATCAGGCCTCTTCTCATTCTTGGAGCGCTGATAACATGGTTTGCTACCTTGTGGTGAACCCCTCTGTA